TTTCCCCACTGGTTGCAGCTTCCCTCCCCCCGAATGAAAACAAGCTGGCAATCACCCATCTCTATGCTGACACCTTCCCCTTCCCTTAAGATGGATGAGTTGACTCCCATAGGCCTCTGTAAAAACCCCTCTCCTTCCAGATCTCTGTGCTGACACTTCCCCCATCCCCTTAATGAAAACCAGCTGGCACTCATCCATCTCACTGTTGAGCTGGCGCCCACTTGTCTCCGTGTGGACCCCGTCCCCCTCCCCTTTGTGAGCCCCTACCTATCTCCTAGTATAAATACCCCTGCCCACTGCCAAAGAGCAGGACGGTGGTCTTTTGGACATGAGTCTGCCGCCCTCCTCTTTTGTCGACAAATAAAACTGCTTTCCTTTTCCTCAAACTCGGTTTCCTTTTATTGGCTGAGGGAAACTGAGGCCGGCGTTCAGTAACAGAAACTCAAAGTGAGTTTTCTGATTTACCACCTCAGATCCCCCAAAGACACGCATGACCCCACCACCCCACCTCTGAGTATGAGGTCACCCTGCGGTGCTGGGCCCTGGACTTCTACCCTGCGGACATCACCCTGACCTGGCAGCAAGATGGGGAGGACCTGACCCAGGAGATGGAGCTGGTGGAGACCAGGCCAGGGGAAGATGGAACCTTCCAGAAGTGGGCGGCTGTGGTGGTGCCTTCTGGAGAAGAGGAGAGATACATGTGTCACGAGCAGCATGAAGGCCTGCTGGAGCCCCAAGTCCTGAGATGGGGTAAGGAGGAGGATGTGAGCACTGAGGGCTATTCCAGGGCCATCAGGAGCCCTTCTGTAGACCTTTCAGAGGGTCAGGATAAGGTCTGGGGCTCAGGGTATGATCTTCCCTTCCCTACCAGTGCCCCCTCCTCAGTCCTCCATCCCTACCATGGACATCATTGCTGGCCTGGTTCTCCCTGAAGCTGTGCTCACTGGAGCTGCGGTGGCTGCAGCTGTGATGTGGAGGAAGAAACTCAGGTAGGGAAGGGAGTGGGGGATCTTGTCCTCTGGGGGCTTTCATGTCCGAGGGAGAACTTGTCCTGCCTGGTTAATGGGAAGTACCTTCCACACGTGTGTGTTGCCCAGAGGGCATTTGTTCCAGTTCCCCCTCTCCTCCTTTCTTCATTTTTCCCAGTCCTGACCTGGGTCTTTAGTCCCAGTTCTGGAAACAGCGGGTTGAACACAGTGCTGTGAAGCTGTCCACAGCCTTAGCGCAGGTTTGATTCCCGGCCAGCCAGGGAGAATCCCACATGGCGAGGCAGATCTCTCCTGTCTCACCCACTGTTCCCTTTAGCAGTGCTTTCAGTCTGTCTGCTTGTTCTGCTTCCTGCTCTGTCTCTGGTGAATCCTGTTACCCTCTGGTAACTCTGGCCTGTATTTCAGCTCTTATATAAATAAAAAAATTTAAAAAAATGAAGATGATGAGGCTCCTGCTGTTCACACCCTGGACAGCACCTGGTATTGTGCAGAGTTTGCATTTTCAGTCTCTCCTAGCTGTGAAGGTGTCACTGTTCTTAACTGTGATGTTGAGAATTTGTTCATATTTTTATTTTTCTATGACTACAGTTGCTGTTTGTATGGAAGTTTTGTACATTTTTACAGTTGAAGTGCCGTTCATTTATTACACACTATTTTTGTCCTTATTAAAATTGGGTTATTTCTTTCTGAAGCAGTGTTGGGAGAGACCTCATGCAGCAAGCAGAAGGGCCTTAACCTGAGTTGCAAAGGCATGTGAAAACACATGCGTTTTGGAGAAAAACTTCAGAACTGGACCTGGTGTTGAGTGCCCGGAATGTGATCTGCGTGGAGTCAGGCCTCTCATCTCCACAGTCTTAGAATAACAAGAAATAATGAGTGAAATTCCCATGCTCTAGCTAGGGGGCAATAAGATTATACTGTGTGAGATCTAACCACCTGGCACGCTACTGTCTGAAATAGATAATAGTAAGAAAGCAGAATAATCAATCATATACACTGTTATTATGTGGTATGCTTTGATGTTACACTTGCTGCACTTAAAGTAGTATATAAAAGAGCATTAAGAAAATAAATATTCACTGCATGCTGGACATGACAGTCCCCCATGTCTGATTTCCTTCACCGTCACATCCCAGGTCCAGGACTCACTAGAAGTCCACAAAGCAGCTTCTGAGCAGGACTGAAAAAGCATTGGACCTAAAGAAGAGGAGGAGGATTAGAAATATCTCATGGTTGGTTTGAGGTATAAGGAGCTGGGCAGGACCCCGCCCCTCACCCTGGCTCCTAGGATGTGGTGGCATCTTCATCCCTGACAGCTCCCTCCCCCACACCCCAAGGTTCATCTCCTTTGGAGTCACCTGTATATGTACATATATGTATACGTGTAATCCCAGCTGCTTCTTGATTTGTCACCTTTCTGGGGCATATAGGTTGTTCCCATAGCTTGGCTACTGTAAATAGTGCTGCAGTGGTGACAGGAGTGCAGGTCCCTTCACAGGAAAGTATTTATCCTCTGTGAGTAGATCCTCAGTGTAGAATTGCTGGGTCCAATGGCAGAACCACATTCACTCTTTTAAAAAACCTCAATCCTGTTTCCATAAGGGCTGGCTCAGTCTATATCCAAACACAATGCAGGACTGTCCTCTTTTTTCCACATCCTTGCCAGCACTTGAGTTTCTGGTCTCTTGGATACATTCCATTCTCACAGGTGTGAAGGTTTAAACCAGGGGATTATAAAGGCACAAAATGTGGGCAAAAAGAAATCCTGTAACACTCAGACCAACACAAGGCTGTCTCTCACTGTGAAAGAAAGAAAATAATAATGAAGAAATTCAGGTGAATGACCTGAGTGTTAACATTATCAATGGTCCACTGTATTCTCAAGATGTCCTCCTGAAAGCATCCCCATCACCTAGTCCCAGCCTCTCTGCCTCAACCCCCACCCCCACTGCAGGCCTCCAGGGTCTCACCTATAGGGCCTGAGATACACTTCAGAGCACTGGGACTGTGGCTGCCTGGGGAGAACACAACAAAACTTGGTCAGAGATGAGACCACAGGAGGAACTGATGAGAGTGACTCCCCCATGGGCTCCATCTACACTGTCCCCAGGGGCTCAGGAATCAAACCCTTGACCACACTTACTTGCAGCCTGAGTGTAGCTTCCTCCTTTCCTCCTGTAGGAAGAAGCATCATGTGAGACCAAGGAGGAGTCAGGTCAGAGCCTAAAGGAATAACCTGCCCCCAAGGCTGCTCCCGTCCTGCTCTGCCCGACCTTCCCCCTCCCCCTCGCGCCGGGGAGCTGAGCCGCGGGCCCGCCGGGTCCAGGCGCAGGTCCCCGCCCAGGGCGCGTCCCCGGCGCCATCGTGGGGAGCGGGTCGTGCCCGCGGGGGAGGCGCCGTCGGGCCCCGCGGCGCAGCCCAGAGTCTCTTGGATCGTGGGAGACCCTGAGCCCCGGCCCTGAGGTCAGTCCCCTGGTCACCCCATCCGCACCCCTACCTCCAGCGCAGAAAAAATGTAAACTTAAAATCTCGCGGGTGAAAGTCCCGCGGGCTCTTCCCTGGTCGAGGGGCCTGGCAGGGGCCACGGCCTCGGGGGTCACGGGACCCCGAGACTCGGGGCGGGGGGTGGGGGCCGGAGCGGTGACTCGCCCCGGCCCGCGCTGCTCCCCGGCCCGGCTCTGGGCGGCGGGGGCGGCGCGGGCCTCCAGGAGCGCTTGGAGCCTCCGCGCCGAGTGTCTGCGGAGCCGCGTCTCCTCGCCCGACCTCCCCGCCCCGCCCGCCCGCCCAGGGGCCCGCGGCTCCGCGCTCTGGCCGGGGAGTCGCTGTCGAACCCCGAACTGCGTGTCGTCCACGTAGCCCCCCGCGATATACCGGGGCTCCCCGAGGCGGGGCGGGACATCACCGTTTCTAAAAGCCTCAGAGAGGGGGAGCCGGGCGGAGGGGTGAAAGCCGGGCGGACCCTCCTCCAGGGGCAGGTCCTGAGTCCCGGGGAGATGGTGCAGGGGAGAAAGTGTCCAGGAGGGAGGGAGCTCCAGAGACTGAACATGGGCAGCGGGTCCAGAAGGGGCAAGACTCAGGGGACAAAAGGAGGAGGCAGGTGGGGGGACAGAAAGGGACCAGGACTGAGGGGCGCCACGGGGGTGACAGAGGGGCCTAAGGCAGCAGCTTCCTCTGCAGAAGCCTTTTCCCTCCACCCTGCACTCACCAGCCCAGGTGTCTGTCTGGGCCAGAGCCCTGGAGAGAAGCAGCAGGAGGAGGGTTGGGGGCCCCATGACCAGCACTGCTGGGGTCTGGGGAGCTTCTGACTCCAGGCTGGTGGGTGGAGACTTACCTGGGCAGGCAGTGATGCTGACTGGTTCTCTGGGAGCCTCCAGGCACTGGGGACTGAGAACTGGGGAGGAGTCACAAGTGTCCAGGGCCCAGCACAGGTGGTGGAGACAGAAGTGAGGCTAAGGGGGCAGTGGGGTGTCCCCAACAGTAACCTTCCTGCCCTAGACACAGCCCTGGGGCCTGGAACTATGAGAATCAGACTAGGGCCCTGGGGCTTTGCTCTGGCCCCTCCTCTCCTCACCCAAAGCTTCCTCACCCTGTCTCCATGACCCAGGCACTGGGTCTGCGATTCTCAGTCATTTTCCTTCCCGGATCCGTGTCCAGTCTTACAAATTAGGGAGGACGCTAAGTATAATCTTGTTTAGGAGGTATTGCTCCCCATATTTACCACACTGGAATAAAGCTGTTTTTAATCATGTAGCTGTTTCATTTAGAATAATAGCAATAACAGACAGTGTTCTTAAGAAAAATAACTTGGGCCTCCCGGGTGGCGCAGCGGTTGAGCGCTGGCTTGTGAAGCTGCCGGTAGCCTCTGCAGTGCCGGTTCGGTTCGATCCCCAGCCGCTGGAAGAGGGTCCCACATGGCACGCAGACCTCTCCTGCCACCCGCTGCTCCCCTGAGCAGCGTACTTTGTCTCTCTGCCTGTTCTACTCTCCTACTCTCCACTCTGGCCCTGGTGAATTCTCTCACTCTCCGGTACCTCTGACTGTACCCAGTGCTTGTATAAATAAATAAATAAATCTTAAAAAAAAAAAAAGAAAAATAACTTACTTCTGAAAATAATCATGGCAATAAGAAAAGTGGATATTTTACATTTTTTATTTTTGCAGTTGTCTTTCCTGTCTATCTCATAGAAAATGGTAGGATTTTCATGTTTCCTCCTGCATTTTTAAAAACAATTTTATTTTTATTTATGCATACAAGAGCTGGGGTACAGGGCAGAGATGGGGGGCATGAGAGGATACACCAGAGATAGAGTGGGGAACAGAGCAGGCGTACTAACTGAAATAAACTGCCAAGGGGAGCAGCAGGAAAGTCAGGAGAGGTCTGCTGAGCCATTTTGGTTGCTCCCTGGCTGGCCCGGGATTGAACCCTGCGCTGCAGAAGCTATGGATTTCTTCACAGTGCTTAACCACTTGTGTCACCAGGGAGGTCCTCCTTCTGCATTTGGTCTGTGTTTCTGGTTGAAGTCTATGAAAAAATGTACACAGCCTCACACAATATGTTGGAACAGTATTTTCACAAAATTGTGAATATTCCACTTTGAAACTGAATTAAAATTATACAGGTGGTATTTTCCCAAAGGTTATTTGCAAAGTGAAATCTGAAACAATATCATTGAATATTTCTTATTCTGTTACATTTCCATTGTCCTCTCTTGCATATTGATGGGGTCTTGTGCTAATGTGTAATTTTTTTGAAGTAATATATTGTTTCACTAAGTTATAAGTTTCTTCAGTGTTCATTACACTGGAATCAAATTACTTAAAAAAAATTCATTTTATTTTTCACCACAAATCCCAAAGTAAAAAGTAGTACTGGAAATTGTCAAGTTAGTGATAGGACACAATTTTCCATAATTCTTTTTTTCCTGAGCACTTACATTTTATCGAGGCGAAGTTACTCTCAGTTACTGTCAGTTATCAATTGTCAGTTGATTTTCTCAAAGGAGCACACACTCACTTTCGGGACAATGTCTTCCAATTAACCAAATCAAATAGCCACAGTTTTTGTCATTCATTCTTTCATGTAAAGATGGCATTGCCTACAAAAAAAGAAAAACAGTCTAATTCATCTCAATCTCATGCAAATATTTTCCTTGGCACATGGTACTTGGGAACACAGCAGGAGTGTTCTGTGTGCACTTGTGTGTCATCACATCAGGTTCTGTAAAATGTGAATTTGAGGATAATAAAATAATGAAGATAATTTTCAATGCTTCAGCCAAGACACTTTGAAATGAAACTGGCTTGGAGTTGTGTTTCTGAGGTAAGAAGTGGTGAAGAATAATTACTACTACAGTTAGTAATATAAGCACCATTTTTACTAAGTTTTACCTCAGCAGATGTCAAAATAGTGAAAGACAAACGGTGTCTAAGTGACGTTTTGAAAATAGTTTTAACCTCATGGACCTTGTGACAGGTTCTGGGTGACTTCAAGGATTCCACAACACTTTGAGAAATGCTTTTCTCAGTGAACCAAGGAACATCTCCCAATATTTTCTGCCTTTGCCTCTTCTTCACTTCCCAGAATCCCTCTCCCTGGCTGGCTCCCTGTCTCCCAAAGCTGCACCCCCAAAGATACAATGGGGAGCAGATAGAAGACCCTGGAGATGTGGAACTTGCACTGTCATGAGAGATGGACACTGAGTGAAGGTGACAAAGACACGTGTAAACCCCACCTGAGCCCCGTGCTAGGAGGATGGAGCATGTGTATTATGAAAGCAGAGAAGTAGGAGTACTAAAAGGTCCCCTGCTATTATTTTAAATAATATCAAAAGATGTAAAAATATATTAAAAACAGGGCTTCCATGGTGGCATCAGGGTTAATTATCAGTGTTATCACCATGTAGGACTGAATTTGATCCCCTGCCAGGGAGCTACCCACATGGCACAGCAGACCTCTACTGTCTCACCCACCGCTCCCCTCAGCATTGGATTTCAGTGGATTTGCCTGTTCTGCTCCCCACTCTGTCTCTGGTGAATCCTCTTACCCTCTGCACCTCTGGCTTACACCCACTCCAGTTCTCGTATGCATAAATAAATAAAAAATAAATCTTACAAAAAACAAACAAAAGAATAACCTGCGGCATCAAGTACAAGATCCATCTCAGACCCAGCAAACAGCAGAGGCTGAGGACCCAGTGGTGGTGCAGATGCAACAAGACACGATGGGGGACTCAGTCAGCGGGAGTCAGGCTTTGTCGTCAAATGAGTTTGATGCCAAACTAGAGAGGGTCAGTCCACCATCCAGCACTGCTGGGCCAGGAAGCCTGGCTGGTGGGCAGCCCCAGTCAGCAGTCAGGCACCGCCTGGGAGACTCAAAGGATAGCTTTTAAGTTTGGCTTAATCTAGCCCTTTGTTTAATTTTTCTATATCCATATCTAAGTGACACATTTGTCTTTCTCCTTTGGGCTTATTTCCATTAGCTCCATCCATGTTGCCCCAGATGGCATGAGTTTATGTTTGTTGATGAGTAGTATTCTATTATCTATGTACCACCCTTTCCACAGCTTGGCTACTGTAAATAGTGCTGCAGTGATCATAGGGGTATAGATTTCCTTTGAAATAGTGTAACATCCTCTGCGGGTGTGCTGGTGCCTGCTGCCTAAAGGGAGCCGGAGTCTCTGAGAGCACCTGCTTACTCTGCACAGGGGGTTCCAGGAGGTTAGAAGTTCTGCAAACAGAACTTCTTCCCCAGAGTAACTCCGGTTCCCTGAGGACATGCTGACTTGTGCGCATGATCCCTAATTAGAAA